TCCTGCTGTCAGAAAGAGTTATAGTTGTTATACTGTGTGTCTAGTGATAAGGTTCTGACTAACAACACCCTGTACCATTAAACATAACTTTGGATGTAAACAAAATGTTATTTTTGAGGCTCAAACTTATTCTCTATTATCGCGAACATCTCTACTATAAGATGTTCTTGTGTGTGGAGGGATGAAACCTGAGCCATCTGTAAATCAAACAGCATTTTCTCTTGATCTGACACAGTTCTTGCAAAAGATCTCTGTTCAGACTTTAAACGCTGGAGACAGGAAGGATGTCAGCTTTGTTTTTTTTTGGTGCAATACAGCCGAAGTAGAGAATCAGAAGCTGCTGTGCATCAGTGGTGCTACAAGTGGCAGGTGCATAGTAATCAGGGGAAACGGCTTTCTCTAATTCTTCCATATTTTGACATCCGTGTAGTTTTCTTGAATGAAATCTAGCCGCTCTAAAGCAAAGCAAGTTCATTTATATAACAATACGAATCGCTTTACTTAAATAAACGAAAGCATTGAGAGAAAAAGATGTAAGGGTGTTGTATCATAGCTGAACTAACCTCTGACCTTGCTGTGAAAGGAGCCATTTTTATTTTAAGGAATGATAAAACAAGTGTGATTGCAAGCAAACTATATACAGACATACAAAAATCTAATCTCTATTGATTGACATGAACAAAACAATGCTTTTATCTAACGAACTTGATTCTTGAAACTAAATTGCACACCACCTCCCTTTTCTTCTTGTGTTCTTTGCTCAGTGCATGTTTGTCACACTCTTAACTTTAACACACTACTGCAGCTTTCACTCTACGTAGCTCTTCACAAGAAGTCCTGTCTGAGGATCTTCCTAACAATCCGACTCGGACCTGGAAATAACAACCGCTCCAGACCTTTAACACGTCATTTCCTGTTGTATCCAATCAGCAACCTCCGGTTCTGACGAATGAAGCAGTGCCGAAGTGCCTTATTCTTGCATTCTTTCTAATGGCCGTCAGGGGCGACTCCTCCTGTTGTAAAAAGAAATCCGAAGTATAGAAGTCTATAATTTCGTTCACTGGTTGCAAAAAACCAAGATGGCGACACCCAAAATGCCAAACTCCAGGCCTCAAAACCACAGTCCACAAACCAATGGGTGACTTCACGACGACTACGCCCACTTCTTATATACAGTCTATCCTTGGTACCCTATATTGTCATATGTTGACTACCAGGGGCTTTAGTACTAAAAAACAAGATGGCGACGACCAAAATCCAAGATTTCGGCGGCCAAAATGCCGAACTCCAGGCCTCAAAATGGCAGTCCACAAACCAATGTGATGTTCTGACGACTACGTCCACTTCTTATATACAGTCTATGGTTGTGTCTCGGCAGATTGTTCCAAGGAACAAAACTCCTGCTGCAGCGAGCTCTTCTCCATTTAAGTGTTCTATATCTCCGTCCAGATGGAAGTAATGTAAAGTGTTGGTTTGTGGGTTGATCAGTGTCATTTGATATTGTGAGTTCTAGGCGTGTGGCTCTGAGGTTCATATTTGTCAGAACGGTTTGGGAACGCAAGTGATTGAGGCCGACATAAACATACACTCTACACAGATGTTCTTTTCTTCTTTCTTTCACTTTTCTTTCTTTGTGAACACTAAGTATTGTGCTCGTACTGAACTATACTGTCACACTCTCTTCTCCTTTGCGCTCTCACTTTTAAAAACACACACACACACACACGATGGTCGTCTCAGTGTGAAATCTCTCTCTGGTCTCTCTCAGCTCCATCCATGCACGTCCTACTCCTCCATGCTAAAGCAAGCATGAGGACAGCCTACTGCTGGCTATGACAGCCACACACAGTGTAGACATGTACTGACCGACACACACACACACACACAATTTTAAAAGAATCTATACTGTAGGCTGCAGAACAGCTACAATAATATATGAAAGCTTTGTATTACAGCTGAATGCTCTTTATTGTAGCAGCACGGCTGTATTGCTTGCAATGGTGGTTTGTTGTTTGCTCCGCCGCTTTGGTCCAGACCAGACGCAACCTCCGGGTCTGAAGAGTGAAGCTAATTAGGAAGTGCCTAAAAACCTTTATTCTGTCTAATCAGGAGGCGACTCCTCTGGTTGTATAGAAGTCTATGAGATAATGACTCTACTTCTCTCTTGATTTATTACCTCAGTAAACATTGTAAACATGAGTTTATGGTCTCAATCTCTAGTTTCAAGTCTTCTTCAATACAGCATGATGTTCATTTAGTACATTATGGTCCATTTAGAGTCAAACAGACCATAAAGCAGGGGATGCTTTAGGGCGGGGCTACACGGTGATTGACAGGTCTCTAACATAGAGTTGTCTGTGTTTTAGTCTTAGAAATTGAACCCTTTCACAGTGTGATCTCAGTTCATGAAAGTTCATTTTAACATTTCAGTCACCTAGCAATGTCTTATTCAGCATTCGGGTGTACTTAGCTCCACCCTCTTGTGTCACTTCCGGTTGCAAAAACCAAGATGGTGACGGACAAAGGGACGAACTCGAGGCTTCAAAACGGCGGTCCACAAACCAATAGATGATGTCACTGAGATTACTTCCAGTTCTAATATACAGTTGATGGTTCAGAGTGAAATATTTCAACAACTATTGGACGGATTAAGATGAAATGCTGTTTGTTATGCTGCATGTCAGGATAATTAAAAACAATAAATGGCACCTTTTTAATGTCATTTTCACATGAATCTTTTTTTTAATTATAAATGTTAACAATCTATTTTGAAAAGCCAGATACATTATATATATTTTATGTGAAAATAATGGGCCCAATGCATACTGTTCACGCAATGATAATCTTGCTGTAGGTCGACTATTTCACCCTGCAGTGACTGCTGAACGACACACACATAAACAAATGAAATGAGCTTTTCTAAACCCCGGTGTAGCTGTAATGAAGCCTGCAGGTGCCACCTGCTGTACCAATGCGCACAGACACACACATATATATACAGTAGATAAACATGATACACAGCAGCAGGAGAGTTAGTGAGCCATGCAGTCAGGACTCTGTGTTTGTCTGAACAGCAGGAGCCTGTTACAACAAGACAACCCAACAATAAGGGCCTCCCATATCACAGACTGAGAGACAGAGAGAGATCATCACTGTGCTGTATGTGTGAGAGGCAGTGGAGTGTGACTGCATCGTTTCCTTAACAGCTGTGTGTCTGTGTGTGTGTGTTGTAGAAGTGTGTGTGTGTGTGTGTGTGTGTGTGTGTGTGTGTGTGTGTTAAGAAGGTTTTTGTGTATTCGTTAGATGCAGAGCTCGTCAATAATCAATTCTATCAGTAGAATCGTGTGTCAGGTGATCTGGGCACTTGTGACAGGCTTTTTTCATAATTTTCAACATTTTATAGACTAAACAATTGTAAAATATGTAAAGTAATGGACAGATTAATTGCTAATGAAAATCATTTCTAGTTTTAGCCCTAATTAAAAAATGGAAACTCAATTTAAGATGTTATAAGACCAGTGAATTTGAATATTGAGTGTTATTTCGCGTGTTGAGAGATCCTTCAAAATCATTTGTGATGATGAAATTAGAAACCGAATCGACTCTTTATTATATGCTATTTTATTTACCTTGAACTACCAGCAATGTTGCGTCGACATGTTGGTCTCCTCCGCAGCTTCAACACCCAGTAACATCGTGCTAAGTTAGTATTTGCTGCAGAACTAGTGTATTGGACTTCATCATACTACCAGGTGGTGTTCTCATTTGGTCTTTGATCATGTGTACGTATGAGTGTTTGTTGTGTTACCTGCCACACTCAGCTGGAAGGAGAGGACAGCTCGCAGCAGGGAGGCGCTCTGCAGGGCTCCGTTATATGTCACACAATGTGTGTCGGCATGTGTTTGTGTATGTATATATATATGCAGTGTGTGCACGATCTCTTTCCTAAAAGAGGCAGTGTCTGACAGTGTTGCGGTTGTTTTTTCTTTGTCAAAAAGTCTGAAAGGTGGACTAGACTGTTGTTTTTTTGTGTTAACTCTGAGGTTAGCTGAGGTATCGCTCATCAAGGCCACATGGGTCCTGAATCCGTCATCCTTACCCTCAACCTTTAACTAGAATACTAAACGTCCTTTTAAAAAACAAAGCATTAACATGCAAGCCGGGTCCTTTTGGCTTTATCTGGGTAGAGCAGAAGGCTAAATGTGTCACTGGAGATGAACTACGGCTGCATCCACACACCTCATCAGGAGGTGAGTCACATTCGGCCAATGACACCTTCCCTTTTCTGCAGCCACAAATTGGCTTACAGAGAATTACTATGTGCTCAGCTACGATGACGTCCTGTGAAACAGTTCTCACTCAGACGTCAAGTTGTGTGATTCAAAACACGAAGAGTAAGTTCTGGGAGGTTTAGACACAATCCAACGCAATCAATCTTTAATGTGTGGGAAATACTTCCTCAGGCCTTAAAGGTGCAGTGTATAGGATGTGGCAACAACGCGCATATGGCCCTATCTAGAGTTAGCGTTTGATTTTGTCCATTCTGGGCTACTGTAGAAAAATGGCGGTCAGCTCCATGAAGAAAACAAGCTTCTTATTAAGATATAAACGGCTGATTCTAAGGTAACAAAAAACAGGACGATTCTTAATTTCAGGTGATTATACACACAAAAACATACTTATTAATGTTATATATTTAATTTCTGCAAATGAGTCCCCCTAAATGCTGCACACTGTACCTTTATATTCAAGTTCACCAGAGACTTTTTTCCAGATTTTTCTATTATTCCTTCTGTATTTCTCCTTCTATATCTCTATAATTACATGTCAACATGTAGGAAATTTTCTTGCACTATATTTCTCCAACTTTGATATTCTCTGTCTGCTTCCTTTTCACTCAAATTCCATCTGAAGGGAAGAAGTTCCTCAGGCTCAGTGACGTTTGAATTAAATAAAATCAAAACCCCTAACCTGAGTCCGTCTCCTGTGTCTCCCTGCAGAAAAAAGCCAGAAGGGAGAAAAGAGCAAACAGAATGGAGCGAAGGATAAAGGGAAGGAGAGGAGGAAGAGTAGTCCTGAGAAGAAAAAGGAGAGATTGAAGCAAGAGAACGGCTCCCTGCTAAAAGAGCTAGGTATATATATATATTGTGTGTGTGTGTGTGTGTGTGTGTGTGGGTGCAGTATTTCCAAACTGATCACCTCATTGTCTGAACATATGCCACATGTGTGTGTTTGTGTGTCCATCGGAAGGATCCTGGTTGCAGCACATTCGTAGCCTTGATGCATCAATAATTTATTATAAAGCAGAGCTTTGATGTACATTCTCTACATAATGGCACAATGCATTATAGAAGTTGAAATTTTAGGATGATATTATTTAATTTCGACCTGACAAAGACTGCATATGCGTAAACTTTGTCTTATATAAATTACTGATGCATCAAGAGTGCTGCAACCTTCAAAAACATGTTTTTATTCTGCTGTGGTCAGCATCCTTTCCGTGCTGGTGTTCTACCTCTTCTCTCTCTCTTTTTAACATGCCTTCATTATCAGTGATGTCATACATTTTCTGTGTGTCAGGTACGATGGTAGAATCTTTGATCGGAGTTGACTACTGATGTATCAATCTGTTGGCAGCTGGCAGTGTAACGTCGCTCACAGAGAGATGCAGCAAGCCTGGATATTATAGAAATGACAATCCTGTAAATCATACAGACTTCCTTAAAATCACACTGGGAAGTATGGGTGCTGAGTTTAAGCCCTCTGGTTGAGAGACGACCACCAAACCGTCCTACAACAGTACTGTAAGATTGAAAGCTTGATACCAGGTGTCAAACTCTGGGTCTGAAAATTTAAGCCGGTGCTGAAGTGCCTTAAACTTGCATTCTCTCTAATGTCCACCAGGGGGCGACTCCTCTGGTTGTTTAGGTCTATGAGAAAATGACTCTACTTCTCTCTTGATTTATTACCTCAGTAAACATTGGAAACATGAGTTTATGGTCTCAATCTCTAGTTCCAAGTCTTCTTCAATACAGCATGATGTTCATTTAGTAACTTATGGTCCATTTAGAGTCAAACAGACCATAAAGCAGGGTATGATTTAGGGCGGGGCTACCAGAGACGTATATATGATGTCTCTCATGGCGTCACTCCTCCGCAGTCAAGATGCGACGGACAAAATGCCAAACTCGTGGCTTCAAAACCACAGTCCACAAACCATTTGTTAATGCCACGACGACTACGCACACTTCTTATATACAGTCTATCCTTGGTACCTTATATTGTCATATGTTGACTACCGGGGGCTTTAGTACTATCATTCAAATTACAAGCTTCTAAATCGATTAAGGAACTCTCGGTGGGCATTCTTTTTTCTGTCGCTTTGACAATTATTGGAATAAGTAATAGAATAACTTAAAATGAAAATAATCATCCTTGGTTTTGTAAATGTTTCAACAATACGGTGCAGCAGCTGAGTGCTTTTCGTTGCTGTCAACGTGAAGCAAGTTGAAAAAAATACTCTTTTATCTTCTGATTTTCAGTAACACACATCTTTGCAAATCCATCACACAACCCCTGCTGTCTATCACAGTTAATGAAAGACAAACAGACCCAGCAGGACGTTCACACCACCGCTCTGGAATATAATAAAAGGACGATACTGCCTCATAATGTACAGTATGTCAGTCTCGTCTTGTGATGATGCTATCAAAAGGAGAAATCTGTCACTGAACTATGAATCAAAACGTACTGTGTTTATGGCCAGAACTCGTTAACGCTTACATTTTTTTCCCAAAAACATCATCTCCCTGTGTTTTGTTAAAACACAAACACAGAAAGACAATTTAAAACCCGTAATCCAGACCTGTTACACGGGGGAACAGAGTGAAAGTTGGTAATGAGAGGTTGAAAAAAACAAGCACAGAAATGGTGGAAGCAAGAGAGAAAGAAGCTCCGTCTGTGTTAATCTTTGTCATTAATGAGCACCTGGGAGACAGACTCCGTCAGAGTAACGGCGAGAGGCCTGTCACTGCAAATCCTCATCATAAGTGAGATGAGAATGGATGATGATGGTTGTCCGTCCTGCTGGCAGGCGATCCATTCCCCCACCAACCGATCATTACCGCGACACATGACGCATCTGAAGACGGTTATTAAATGCAAATTGGCCACGCAGATTTTAACGTAGTTAGATATTTGTTCATAACAATTTACGGTGCATTTGGCTGACACTTGTATCCACAGCGACTTGAGGTGAAAGGTGTCTCACTCGGGGACACAGGATTGACTGTTGATGGACACACACTGGCGGCTGTGGTGCTTTTAAGTTGTCAAGACGAGAGAAAAGCCACCTGCCTGACTATTAGGATGCAAATTCACGTTTCAATGCACCGGCATCCTCATAAAAGTCAAGAAGACAGAAAATAGTTTATCCATCACTAAGCAGGGAGAGAGGTTTATTTCTATTTTTATTTTCCAATCAGCAGCAGTAATTCAGGCTTCATTTTAGCAACGGTAGAAATGTGTTGGCTGATGTTTTAAACCAGCGGTGCAGATAGCAGAGCCTTTCTTTTCAGAAACTATTAAATTTAATATCTTCCCCTCTGTTCGTGTCCATCTATTTACCTCTCTATCTGCATTCATTGAGGCAGGCAGGCTCGCTTTGAAAGTTGGCACTCTGGGATGTGTCGGCAGCTCCCGTAAAGGCATATTTCCTGACATCCAGAAAAACATCCTCAGTTTATTTTTTCAGATGCGGCTGCTTCACGGGACGGCGGCACTGTGACAGTTTGATGAGAGCCGGTTTGCCGTCGGTCGTGGCACAACCGGAGCGCGCGCTCTCAGGATCAAACACAGTGTTTCCTCTTTTCAGGTTATATCTCTCAGGCTATGGCTCATACTCTTGGAAATGTTCCCCTCCAAAATTACATAACCATTACAAGCCATTAAAAAAAAAAGGTCATAACCGCACATGTTGAATGATTTCTAGCATAAAGATCAAATAAAGGGTTGTGCTTTTAGGGGGGAAATACAGGGTCAACGAAAAACAGACTTTGCACTAAAATATTGGGGTTTTCTCCTTTAAATAGCATCTGAAAAATAACTTTTTTCTCCAAGTCGTGAAACTAAAAATTGTCATATTTATTGTGACAGTAATTGAGATTTGATGTCACTAATTTTAAACATTAAATAAATGGTTTATTACGCAATAAAATATGGTTATATGCTTCTATATTCACAAGTGTTGCTTAATTACATTCACACATTTGACATTTTATTATTACAGCAGTTAATCGTTTAACCACCAAGACTTTTCTAAAGGTTACACGTGTATGCATATATGCAGTTTTACAGTCTATATATTAACTGTGTCGCTCTCGAATTAAAGAGCAGGTGAGTCAAAGCGAGTATGGAAAACATTTTCTATTTAGTATCAATGCGTCTTCTATAGCAGCCCTTCTGATCGGCCATTACGGAGACAGTTTAGGATGAATATCAGCCGTTAACGATCGGTGGCTGATCGATTGGAGCACCCTTTATGATGACATCATCAAAATGTGGCAATAAACTTCAGCGAAGCCAACAGAAAAATAAGATGAGAGGTCAGACATTTACAACGCAAGATATTCACATTTCAGCTCGAAAATGAAGAGCGCTTTGAAGTGTGTGGCCAAATCTCATTCACAGGACAGCGCCTCTTGTATTTCATGTTGTGTGGGGTTTCTTTTCCTAAAGAATAAAAAGGTTAGTTATCATTAAATGGGTGTCGGGCTATCGAAAAGCAAAATGAACTGAAACTGACATTATCATTCATTATCTGTTTATACGCAGCTTATGGCCGTCCACGTGAGTAGCTATTGTCGACAAATACAACACTAAACACGGATATCTTCTGACAACTACATTATAGTTGGTTATAAACCATTTATTTAATGTTTGTAAAGTAAAGTGTTGTTGATGAAACTTTCAAGTTTAAGAAAAAAACAAACTGAAGTTTTTGTTATTGCGTGAGAAAATAAAGGAAATAGCATGCAAACAAGAAAGGGAAAGAAACACTCAACTTGTGACACACGGCATGTTTGCGTGGGCGAGTAAAGTGGAAAACAAAGTCCTCCATATCTTCAGGCTTCCTCTAAAAGCCAGCTCCTCAGCTGTGAATAGATCCTATATGTAGGACACCAGGTGGGTGGATTTGTAGTCTTGCATAAACCTTGTTTATACGTATCCAGATCTAATAAGTTATGAATATTTCTGCAGTGACGTTCTGTATAAAGCTACTGTACATGAATAATATCCGAGAGCCTAAATGAAAATCAGTTGTGAAGACGATCTCTGCTCTTTGTTGTCACGCATCCTCCCTTTCATGTGCATGAGTAAAAGCAGCTCATCTACATGACAGATGATGTTCATCATAATTCATTACTTAATAGATCCCCAATGGGTCGGAGGTCAAGTCATCACAGTCCTGCAGCTGAATGACAAAATACAACTTTGTCTGATAATGTCGACATGCAGAACAGACACGTCTAATGCAACAAATAAAGACACATGGAAAGCATTAGGAATACATATTAGCACGCTGACAGCAGCACTAAAGCAACATGTGAGGAGCTCGGTTCCTTCCTGTTATCTCGGAAAACGAACACGACAGAATGTTGCTCAAAGCCACAAAAGAAGCCGCCCAACAAAGACTTCATGCTGTCATCAAAGGATGAAACCCAGAGCTGCTCTGTCGATAACAAAACAGGCTCTGACTTTGTGTGGGTTTTTTTTTTTTCCAGTAGGAATTATATACAGCCAAGCTTAACCTCACTATTAACATTTCTGTAGCATAAAATCCATCCATACATCCGGAAAGATTCAGTTTGAAATGTTGCCTTTGTGTGTCAGCTGCAGGCTTGTTTATTCTTTTTTAAGAAACATGCTTGGAAGGTTTTGTCAGTTTGAATCTCCTGCATGAACATGAAGTCCTGGAGTCTGATTTTACTCTTTTGAGTTTATCTTCTTACTCTTCAATTCACCTTCAAAATATAGTTATTTAAATGATGTTAACACCGTGATTGTAACCTACACTTTCACTACAAAATCCACTTCAGTCCAGTCTTAACCTTGATGTTGTGTGACCTGCTTA